AGCCGGTATGGGTCAGTGGTTGAGTGTTGATCTATGAACCAGGTGGTCATGGTTTGATTCCCAATCAGGGCACATGCCGGGGTTGCAGGCTTGATCCTCAGTAGGGGGTGTGCAGGAGGCAGCCGATCGATGACTCTCTCATCCTTCATGTTTCTATCTCTCCCTCTCCCTTCCTCTCTCTGAAATCAATAACAAAAAACACCCAACATTTATTATATATATTATTAAAAATCACACATATGTCAACTTGATAAATTCAGCCCATCCAAATACAAAGACAGAATGTGGCAAGCAGGTAATGCCAATGAAGTGGACTAAATTCGTGACAATATTAAAGATGTAAAGCAAAGGGAAAAAGTCTTAAGGTGCACTTCTACTTCATAGACTGAGTTTGGCGGAACTTCTGACAGTGTGATAAGTAGCACATCCTTTGAGAAATATCATTGCAAGTTGCTTTTGGTTTTGGTAGATGTTTTGGGAAGTTTGAGAATACTTTTTTTAAAGAGTTTTGGTTTTTTAAAGATATAGGTATAAGAATAAGATAAATCCATATAGTAAAAAAATGTTTTGTTTGTTCATCTTAATAAAGCATGACCTAATTTAATCAAATTATAAAAGTATATGTGCAATCTTTAATGATAAATACAAGTTTTGTTAATAAAAGTACATATTTGATCTTAACCAGGTTAATATTCTATTATTTTTTTTTACTCTGCATTGCTTTAAAACTGCCCTTAATTGCTCTCCATTCTCCAAATTTCTTAATCCCTGAGAAGCCTTGCACACAGATATTTTATTCAAAATTGCAGTGTTCCCTATGGTTTTTTATGGGTAAGCTTAAATTCTATAACTAAATGGCCAAAGAGCAGAGAACAAGCTTAAAATAGGAAATTTTATTGGCAGTGAGACAACGACTAAGCAAACACAGTCTGCAAGAACTAAGAGCTTTTACTTTGCAAAAAAAATGACTCTTAACTTCTCTGTTTGTCAACTCTGAGATGAAGGACTTGTCACTTTGGAAAATAGTTAAGTCCTTGGTAATGTTCCTTGTTTAGTTTATTTCTAAACTTAAAAGACAGTGGAGAAGAGCATAGTTGGGGAGACAATGTCCAAATCAGGGTAGGACAGGTGAGGGGGTGAAGAGGGAACTTTGGTGGAGGAACCCTGAACAGGAGAGATTGGGTGCTGCAATGAAGTCAGGGGAAGAGCCGGAGACTCTGAGCTCCACATAAGTATCAGCAAAGTGCCCTCTCTGGCTGGTGAGCCACAGGGTCAAATAAAAAACCAGTATTCTCCCTTTCTACAGGGGTAAGCTGTGTAGTTTCAAATACAGACACCACTTTTTCTACTCCTTACAACCTTCTAACTTGGTCCTCAGTCCCATCCTACTTGTTCAGCTGAACCTAAAATAGCAAGCCACCCCTTTAATTCCTTTTTCCTCCTCTATATTGTCTCTAAGGAAAAGCTTAGCTTTAGTGAAAGGTTTTAAAGGGCAACCCTTGGGTCACAGTGAAGAAGAGAATAATACTGACAAAGATGGGAAAATACAAAATGTGTAGTTGTTGGTTGTAACTCAGTACTTGTTTTGTCAGTGTGGTAAAGCAGAAGCGGTCACCAGGTCACCAGCCTGGATGTGGAGGATGCCAGGAGAAGACTTTGAAACAGCGAGATCAATTGCTTCTGTTTCCATAGAAACCCACATCCCTTGGCCAGCTAGCAGCGATGACCATGGCCATCAGCCCACAAGCTAACTTCACACCATTCCCATCTCTTCTTTTACAATATGTATCTGTTGGATTATGTCTTGGAACCCATTTTCTGAATAACAACTAAATTAGAGCTAATAATATTAGTGATTTGGCTGAAAATTGAAGAATTCTCACTTGTAACCAACAGTCTCCTTACCTGTTCAGATTATTACTCAATTTATCCCTCTTCCTTCTATTAGGAAAACCAAACCAAATCAAACCAAACCAAAACCACACAAACACCGTTCCACTGAGGAAACTGTACTACCCTCTTAGTCCTCACCTATTGCTTTCCTGGTCACTCACTCACTAAAGGGAGGCATTATCATTGCTTCACTTCCTCTTCTCCATTCCTTCTCTGTCTTCATTGTCAGAGTCTTCATTATCCCCGTGGATGGTCCAGCCAACACCTGGTCTCTTAGCACAACTTCCTCATCTATATCACGGGTAACAGTGCTGAGGTCATAGTCTTGCTTCTGTGCTTAGTATTTGCATGTGTACTTTAGGCAACTCACTTAATACGCCTATTTCCCAGTATCAACCAAATAAAACGGAAATGATACCAGGAAGGAGAAAAATGAGCAATCACACATGCATTTTGGCCATTTTTATACCTAGAGGTCTTCATATCTGCAAATTATTTTACATAATTTACAGGGAGAAGTGTATGAAGACAGAAAAATTGACAAATGTTTGCTTTGATCCCTGTGTAGTGCCTGGTCTCTGCATATACTTTGGAGAAAGTATACATGTTTCCTTCTTGGAAAGTGGATTTTAGACACAAAATTTAAACTAGCAGAAATCAATTAATTTCAGAAGAGAGATAGTGGCTTTTTAAGATGACCCTCGTAGCAATCTCAGCAGTGGTAGCCCTCATGTCAGAGTTCTGGACGCAGGCATGCTTTTCTCTATGCAACACACTGTCTCTAAGAGACTGCGGTGCCCGTTCAGAAGCATTGCTTTCCAAGTGTCATTTTTTTCTAATAAAACATTTTCTCATGTAATTTTCAATATTATCAATAGATTTTGGCGACTGTTTATTTTTCTTGTGTTTTATTAGTTAGTTCCTTTGCGAATTTTTAACTTTTTTTTTTTTAAGTTAGCTATGTTTCAAGTCCCT